TTTCAGTGTATCCTCCCCTCTATGATTTTCATAAATGAGAACGGTTCAAAAGGATAGCCTGTTCCAATATAAAACTTGCTTTGAAATTCCACCCTGTAATCATGAAAGTTGCTTTCTTGTAAGTTCAACAAGTTATTGGCAGAATAAAATTTAGAGTGATTCATAATTATTCAGAATCTAAAGTGAATTTTGTCAAGAAGATGATGGCTGCTGAATTCAAAAAATTGTCACTAAAATTTCTCAGTAATAGTGGATCTCTTTCCTTCTTAATGTGGAATACTTTCAAGATGTAACTAACCAGTGTAAACGAAGAGCATGCAAAAATGCCGATAAGCCTTCCATAAGAATCAAGATGGCTATTGTTAATATCGCGAATGCCCAAAACACGATATACTGCGTAAAGACTCCAATCCAGCCCCCCACCACAACACCATAATGAAATACCATTGTCCATAATACTTCCGATAATTCTACAAATGTCCAACTTTTCCCTTAGCACTTTTAACATTATCAGTGTCAAGTTTTTCATAATAAATTTTTTGGGCATTCAATCTTTCACTTTCATGTAAATAAATATGTCAAGAAGATATGCAGAAGTAAACAGTAAATATCTTGAAGCACTCATTATAAGCATTTTCACAAATTATTACGTTCATAACATGGACTGCTTTCAGAAAAATGTGTTAGTACTTTTATGAATTGAATTAAGAAGAGAGAAATACCAGCGTGTGCTAAGGAAAGTGCCCAAAGTCGAAGATATGAAGCTGTATGGGATATACAACCCAAACAAAATTCTATAATATGGATTGCTTGATGCACCATAATATCACCGAAATCAATCTGAAGTAGCTTTTTGGGTGGTCAATTGTAGTTATAAATGAAACGATTTCCAAAAATTGCCCTTGATTTTCATGAAACATCTGAAGTCAGCTAACATAAGGGATTAAATAAAGTCTAATTGAAGAGAAAAGCCAACGTATATCAGTAAAGGTAGTCTGTTTCCGTTTTAGCTAGCCTTATTCATTTAATAGTTTGACAAAAAAAGAAATAAGAAATTGCATTAAATATCTTGTGCACCTGTAATTGCTCTTTACAACTTTGCCAGTGAAATTTTAGCAAGTTTTTGGAGCAGAAAATAGATAAGTGAAGGAATGTTGACGAGGCGGACAAAAATTGTAAATGTGTGCTGCACTAAGCTATTATGATGCACGCAAATTTTCAACAAAAATTTCAAATTCTAAGTTTTTGAATATGAAATTTTGTCCATCATTTGCTACTTTTCTTCCTTACTTTTTTGGAACGATAGAGTAATATGAGGGGTTTGACGAACAGCATCACTGGTATAGAAAAGATTGCAGTGAGAAGCAAGACGGTTTCAATCAGCATCTGTAAGAGGAAAGTTAGATATTTAAACCATTACATAATTGAAAGTAGACAGCAATTCTGATGATTATTTCTTCAAGAATGATGATTCTTACATTAGTTTCAATAAACAATGATCGTAATGAAATTTCAGTGGCTTTTTTTTTTGTTGAACATTTCCGTTTGAACTTTTTTATGAACTATTTCCAATAATACATTTGAA